TCTTTCACTTAAGCAATTTGGTGAATTAAAAACATCAGTAAAGTTTCTTAACCCCTGTTCTGGTTAGCATGGTGTGCTCATGGCTGTTCGTAAACACAGATACATATCTACATTGCTACAGGGAATGGCACTTCCCACATGGAAAAGCGACTGTGTCCAAACGTTTGTTCGTTGAACTGATTCTTGTTAATTTGGAAAGGTAGGATCCATTTTCTTCCTATGGCAGTAATAAATGATGTGGAGTTCCTGGACCAGCCCCCAAAAGCTTCTTAACTCGTGATCCTTCTTAATAGGCCTCTAGAACCAGTGACTATTTATAATAATGTTTCTATGGGAAAATGCATCCCCAGTTTTTACTTTAGATTTTAACGTTATGTCTCTTCATAAAAGCAAATTAGGAGCACTGAAGTCACGTGACCTGGGTTCAAATCCCAGCTTTATAACTTGAATACTGGCTGTGTAACTTTAGACAGCTTGCATAACCTCTCTAAGCCTTGATTTCCTCATCAGTAAAATGGGAAGAATGAGAACACAGGTATCCTAGCTTCAAGAAAAATGCTTTGTCCAGATTGATGGATATACAGTGTGAGAGAGGGAGAGAATGTGTGTGTGTGTGTATATTTCTGTCTGTGTGTGTTAGGAGGAGAGAGAGCAGAGGAAGTGGTAATAACGCAGTTTTACATTGCAATTCATGTACGTGCCAGGATTTCTAAGGCAGTTAGAACTGAGGGATCTCAATAGATCAGAATTAGTAAGAACTGTGTTAAGTAGCCGTCTTCCAAACTCTTTGACCCTCATCTGCATTCAACTCAGGCTGTTTAATGCCCTACAGGCCACCTCAGCATGGCAGCTGCAGGCGCCAAGAACAGCCCCTAGAAGAGTGATCTTGAGCCAGAAGTTTGGGCTGTGATGAAGCAAGTCTCGTGACTTTCTGCTTCTTCCACAGAATCACTCTGTCAGTGCAGACATCTGAACTTGCTTCCACGGGGTTCCTTCCCTGGAAAGTTAGAACTGTGTCATTTGCCTACCTCAGAACGTTTAGCAAAGATCACTGAGATATGATCTGTAAAGTTTTGAGGTGGAAAACTATAAGCACCTAATATCATTACTTAGCATTCTTAGTATTGATGGTAATTCTATGACAAAATTATAGCTACTAGGTATGTGCTGCCACCATTATATCATTATCGCTAATTACAGTTATAATAATTTGAGGAATTATATAGTATTGCTTTATCTTGTGACCAGATATTCTTGTATCTGTTGGCAAACCAGAGAGAGGTATTCTTCTCATCATGGTAGAAAATTCTAAAATTCAGTGGAGGTGGCTATCCAGGGATGGACCTCCAATCCTGCTTTTCTAAACCCACAAAGACTGTGTGAGAACCTTCAGGAAGCTTCTTTCAAAGGTTGCCTTGAAAATCTTTTCTCCAGAGAGCTCTTCCCATGTCAATACTTGAGCATAACTTAATCATATTTGGTGGAGCGCGGCTCCCAAAGCAAGTGGTCTGAAAGCTATTTCCTTGCATTATGATGAGTCTTTGTTTTTCCTTCGGAAGAGAGCTAAAGACCTTTGACATCTTTATGTTCTGTCTCTTTTTGTTGTGTAAAACCCTTGTCGTTTCCCAGGCAGGCCATATATCTCTAGTTTAACCCCACGTCACTTCATTCTGCACGTCTCTTGGATAGGGTTTTATTGTCCTTCCCTTTCCCCTTTGTAGTTAATGAGGGCTGCATTTTTAGTCATTCTAGCTCTGATAAGTGACTGAAAGACTCCATTTTTTAAATATTCAGAAGGAATCTACTGAGAATCTATATTAAGTAACTGAGTGTCTTTGCTGTTTTCTGGGAAAACGTATGAAAGAGTATGGAAGGGCAGACATAAGTCTAAGAGGACATACTTCTCCGTGATTTTTATTGCCCTAAAGAAAGTGAACCCTTTGGAATACCTCCTAGATTGTTTGTTAAAAAAATTGTTTGATCAATGGACCATATTTGACTTAAAATATCTAAAAAGCTACAAAGCAGCGGTAACAAGTTTCAGTCTTCCGGGCACTGGTGTTCCGTGAATGAGCCAGTGTGTTCCAGCACTCAAAGCGTTTTCCAGTTTACAGTAAATTTAAGTTAATGAATGGAATGCTCAAGATTTTTCTCCCATAAAGCACTTCCTAAATCTTTGGCTTTCTGATGCCTACCAAAATCTAGTGAAAAATGTCATTTTGTGCAATCTAGAATGTTCTATTTAGTTATTTGAATTACTTCTTGTATTTTAAATAGGTCCCAGGTTCCCTGCCACTCAAAAAACATTGAGAATCACTTGTCAACGCAGCACAAAATATTTCAGATTCTCTTAAAGATTTTTGATATCTCACTCCCTGGGAAGTTTGTAATTTTCTCAAATGAAGACAAATTCATAGGGAGTGATGCTAAGGCAATTTTTGGTAACATTATACCACTTCCCAACCTTATGTCCTCTTTGACATTTTTCCTATTTTTTTGGCATTTTCTTTCCTCCTGGGTTTAAATTCTCTGCCATTAATTGAATATCTACTATGTGCCGACCATATGCTAATCCTCACATCAGCTATGCAGATGTAGATACAAAAGTTGAAATATGCTAAGAAACTCATTCTCAGTTGCATAGTCAGTGGCAGAGCCAAGAGGGTTAAATCTGCTTCCCTTGAGAGACCGTGACTTTTCTGTCGCACTGTGGGCCTTCTCTCACCCTTTCTCTTCCACCACATGCTCCCCTTTGCCTCTCTCTTGTTTTCATATTTAGTTGTGGTAAGGTACACATAACATAAATTTACCATCCTAACTATTTTTAAATGTGCATACAATTTAGTGGCATTAAGTATATTCATATTGTGCTATCATCACCACATTCCATCCACAGAACGCTTTTCATCTTGTAAAACTGAAACTCTCTACCCACTGAACAACTCCCCATCATTCTACTTTCTATCTCTATGAATTTGACTACTATATGTATACCGCATATACGTGAAATCATATAATCTTTGTCCTTTCGTGACTTGGCTTATTTCACTTAACATAATGTCCTAAAGGTTTATCCATGTTGTAGCATGTGTCAGAATTTCCTTCTTCTTTAAGACTGAGTAATACTCCATTGTATGTATATATCACATTTTGTTTATTCATTCATCTATCAGTGGACACTGGGTTGCTTCCACCTTTTGGCTGTTGTGACTCATGCTGTGAACATGGCTATCCTGCTTTTCCCCTTTGAGTGCACTTCGCCCCACCCGTTATCTTCTGCCTATACTGTAGGCTTGTCAGTGATACCCATCACATTGCTTAGTCCCACACATAACACTATGATCTGGAAAATAACCACCTATCTGTATAAGCTATGGACCATATGTCATTTTTTTTTTCTTTTGTTGGCTTTGCCTTTCTTTTCAAGTTTGGTTTTGCATGGTAATGAATACATATTCTGTCATTTGCTCCTGAGTGTATATATTTCTGTCCTGTGTTACACTTGACTAGAACTCTTTGAACCTTCAGGGAATTGTGTCAAACAGCCAAGCAACACACACTTACTGAATGCAAGGCATTAGGCTAAGTGTGTGAGAAAGCACACAAGGTTGGGGGGCGCAGCAGAATTGATGTTTGGTTCCCAACTTCAAGTAGCTCTTAACTTGCAAGTTTTCATTTCCTTTATCAGTTACGTTAAATAATTTGGAAACGTTATTGTTAGATTCATTCTGTATATCTGGGACAAGTTTTTCCCACCCCTCCCAGACATTAACAATGACTGGAGATATTTTGGGTTGTCATAACTGGTGGCGGATGCTGCTAGCATCTTGTGGGTGGAGGCCAGAGATGCTGCTAAACATCTTACAGAGCACAGGACAGTCCCCTACAACAAAGAATTGCCTTGCCCAAAATGTCAGTAGGGCCAAGGTTGAGAAACCCTGCAGTATGTCATATTACTTAATTTAATATTGTTAACCACACTGCTAAAAAGACACAAATCATTTTCCTAAGGAAAATTTCCTTATGAAAATACAGTAACTTGAAATCAAGCTAGCATTTTCCATCCTATGATTTTAATTATTTGCTAATCCAGGATATAAAATTTCAAATGTTTGAGTGGAATTTTAATATCTAAAGAAAATTTCCTAGTAAAAATTTCATTTTAAAAACATAGCTTAGCATTTGGTATATTGGCAATTAATACCTATTTGAAAAAAAGAAAGACCATTAGCATAGTTAATAAACTTTCTTTGGATTTGAAAAGCATTGTGTAATTGCCCCTGCATATTTCTCTCTGAACTGCTGTGTTTAGACTAACACTATATTTAGATCTCAGCTCCTATACAAATATCTTATGAAGTAGCGCTATTAGCCCTAAAGGATATTGTGCACCATTGATTTAAAATATTCCATGGATGACCCTCTTGCATAGCAGATATAAAGAAGTATAAACAATGTACCCTTCCATAAAGAGACTTTCTTTATGGAACGTTCTTCCATAAAATGGAACTTTAACAAATGGAATGAGTTGAAAAGAGAATCACGTGGAGGTGCTGCAACACCATGCCACATATCCTATGGGGCATAGAGACGCCCGAGAGCCGGTCGCTATCTGTAGGTCTAAACCAGTCTCTGAAGCACCAGGGAGAATACCACGGAGTCATTGACTGGCACGTGACCCTGGGCATGAGCCGCTGGGGCACACATTCAAATGCGTGCCTGACTAAACAAGCCTTGCCTAGGTTTGTACCAAGAATAAGTGTGCCCTGATCACCAGTCCCCTGCCCTTTGTACACTGTCAGTGCTGAGTGTTGAAAATTGATGTTCGTGGTGAGAATCTTGTAATTCTTTCTTCATCACCCAGGAAAAGCATAAATCCTGACTTGGTGTTCCAGTTATCTGGTCATATTGCAAAGGTGGTCATGAAAGTGCCTTCCTGGACGTGGACGTGAATCGATCTCGGGCATCTGAATCACAGAATCTGTGTCTTTCTGTTCCAGGACGTGGGAAGAAGGCAAGGTGCTCATCTTTGACGACTCCTTTGAGCATGAGGTCTGGCAGGATGCCGCGTCTTTCCGGCTGATCTTCATCGTGGATGTGTGGCACCCAGAGCTGACGCCCCATCAGAGACGCAGCCTACCTGCAATTTAGTATGTCTGCAGGCTTGGAACACACTGGAGAGAGGCTGCCTTTCTGGGTCTGTCTCCTTGGGTGCGGGGATAGAAGTTTGAACACCAAGGCCTTTAATTCCCTTGATTTGCAGCCTGAAAAATTCTAAACCTCTTCGTAGGGTTAGAAGACACAAAAGGGAAGATTTGCCTCACTGCAATTCATTTAGAAAGTACCCTGCTATATTTCATCCCATGACAACACCGATCTGATGCCTATATTTCAGGTGAATACAGGATAGCTTCTACCTTGCCAGCCAAAGAGTTTTTTCCACTTAGAATAGGCCTACATCAGTGTACAATGAGAATATTTGTAGAAACTGTAAATGGATTGCTTTCGTTTGTAATTTTTCTATACAGTTATATTTTTCTAGGGTGGCTAGATGATTTTGTCATCGCATACCACTACTTTTTTGTTGATTTTAATGGCAAGCTGTGTAAATGCTTTACTTCAGACTGTTTAATGATAACTTTCCTGGTGAGCTCATATTCCTTCTTCTGATTCTTTTTAGTAAAAGACACTCGTATGAAAAGAGAAGTTTGATTTTCCTAATACAAAGGAGAAAGATGTAATCATGCCAATGTCTGTGAACTGTACTGGCCCCTGCCCAGTGAGTCTGCTTGCTTGTTTATCTTCCTTGAGAGCTGGTGTCTTAATTTCTTTCCCGGCTGTGTGAATGATGGAGCTATCAAAATCGTTATTTCTTTCTAAGAGGAACTTTTCACACTGAAAAAGGACATGGAATCATTTTATATTGAGTTATAAAAATGCCACATGTAAATTTTTTAAATGCCAAGTATTAGGGCTTGAAAAGAAAAAAGTAAAATTTCTCCAGGTAAAAATTTTTTTCTCGGGATCAGGTAGATAGGTGGGTGCTAGGACCATCTGGCTCCTGGCCTCTTTGCCGTCCGTGAGATGGGGCTGGAATCCAGAGCATCTTTGCCTGTTGTAGATCTATGTGAGTGACGAAGTCCTTGAGAGGATTCCCATCACAGTTTTGTAAAAACATGCAGGTTGGCAGAGTGGAAGAGCAAGAATGCCAGGATCTTTGTCGTGGGTGTAGGATGTCAAGGTTGCATTCCTCTTTGAGTTCAGAAGACTTTTATGGCTCCCTGGCTTGAGAAACTTCTACCACTTAAACATCACTTTGAAATAGTAATTGTTACCCATAGCTTTGCTTTAATATCACCCACAGTATAGAAATAACAGCTGAAAAATGATCTTGCACTCTCATTTCAAAGATGATCGTCATTAATTTAGTAGAGTATTAATGCATGAATTTTTTTGTTTTTTAAATCAAAGCTAACTAGAAACTTTAGCTTGAAGAATGTAACAATATTCGTGCACTGAATTTTAAGCCAACATGAACAAAAATGCTGAAGAAACGACACACAGGTTACCAAATTTCATTCACAGGTAGAAAAACACTTGTGCTTTCTTTTCCATCTAAGGACAAAGGAGGATACTTTCTTTATCTCATTTAAAAAAGAGTTCTTTAAAATTGAGATGAACCCTTTTCGCCTGTCCTTAAGGATATTAGCTTCCAGTAGAAGAGTTTGCAAAATATTTGTCTTATTGCCTTCTATCTTGCCAATGTTCAAAAATCTCACTAAAATAGGTGAAGCAGCATGTGAGGAAAAATATCAAAATTAATTACCAAAGTCCAGAAGAAAAAGCAAACTCTTGAAAAATAAAAAAGTATTTGTGTCCTTCAGTATTTATTGAACAGAGGAAATGACTGACAAAGGACAATACAATCCAATGCTCATGTAGTAACATTCATGTCACTTACTGAATTTGGTTTTTGTATGTATATTGCATACACATAAAGAAGTTCAAAGTATAAATTGTCATTGTTGAACCATCCTTTTACATTCATTTAATAAAATCATGGAATAGAGTGAAAACTAGCTCTTAACTTAGTAATTACGATATGGTATTTGCAATCAGGTCACTACAGTAAGATTCTAAATATCTCCAATTGAAAAGCCAGAATTGTTATTACTGTTGCAAAGTATTGGCAAGAACTGACTCCAATAGCATTTTAAATACTTGGATCACACAACTATTTTATAAATCCAAGTAATAAAATGGACTTTCTAATTCACTTTAATTCTTCATCTCACTTCCCTATGTCATGGTATATAAGAAAAGTGTTTCACTCACTGCATTGGTAGAATTATTTCAATGTTATTATTTTGTTGTTTGAAATGTCTATACAAAATGAATAGGTTGTATTTATACTGTAATGCAATTGGTTGAGAAATATTTTTAATTTCAATTTTATTTCAAGAGTGGAATACAAAAATTACTTCTGTATTATTCTCTACCAGTAGAAAAAAAATTAAAACACTAGATCCATTGAGAGAGATGTAATAAATGGTTAAGATTAGTAATATCTGTTGAGGGTGAATATGGCCAGCTTAATCACCTCTTTCCTTTGAATTTTTTTGCTAACAAATTAACCCTCCCAAATGCTTAAAGTGTGAAATCATATTTTACTGCCCATTATCAACTAAAATATTTTTTATTTGACATTGAGCACCAACTCGTCATACATGAATGCCCATGTCATGCAGGTGACTGGAAGAATAAAAGATATCTGAAAACATAAAACTGGTTTTGGGAAACATGGCACAAGAAAGATATCATATCCTATGATATCTGTTTATTTTTATCTAATTTCCTTTGAATGGATAGTTGGGGACTCCATTTCTAAGGAGAATAGACAAAGAAATAAAATGATCTTTGGCATTTCATCCTGCATTCCTAGTATTCTCTTATTTTCAGTACTTGCATATTTAGCCATCCGTAAAGGTCTTCCTCAGTGATTGGATACCTATCCTCTCAGCAACAGCCAGGCCCTTGCTCCTCACCTTTACTGGTTGCAGGAGGGTGGGGGGTTAAATGCTTTAGTAGCACTTTTCTTTGCTGTAGTGACCTAAGTGAGGCAACTTGAATGGATTCATTAATCAATGACATGTGTCTTCAAAGGGACCCCCCCCATCTGCAGACACACACTGCCTGTGGGAAGTCACATTGCTAAGAGAAATAATCATATTTCAAATTATGTGTCTTCTTTTAAAGTCAGCTCATGATAATCAGCTGGTGGCCTGACAAAAGATGTGACATCAAAATCATTTATGCAGGATGTCAAAGTAAGAAAACTCTGCCAGTAGCCAGACCTACAAGAACATGCTCTTAGACTGAACAATTCAATGCTGGTGATGAGGTCAAAGAAAATAATTCAATAAGAATGGAAATTAGTGGAGATACTGTTGTCTCAGGGCTTTGTACTACCTTAAACTTGACAGTTGGGTCTGCATGATTTAATTCTGATGTATCTACTTGGAAATGCACTTAATCTTAAACTGCAAAAACTAGAGGGGGTCTCTGTGTGATGCCTCAAAGAAATCCTTGTCCTAGTGCAGTGTGTGCATCAAATTTGGTTTTTCTTTTTTCAATCCATTTAATACTGTAAATATAGGGGAAGAGGAATCATGTTTACATAACTGCCTTGCTTCATCCTCAAATCCACTCTGTGAAAAAAAAACGCATCTCTCGAGTCTCTTCAACTTTGGCTGCTCATACCAATGGCTGGTGACAGTCATTACTGAGTGGCAGGAGTGGAGGGCCTTGTGTTCTTGCGTCTGTGGGGTCAGTTGCGCGTGTGCCTCCTGGGTGGCTGGTACTACTGAAGGCTGGCGATCTGCAGGAGCATGGATGACTCAGGATTCAGTCCAGAGCCAGGAGTGGCTGAGTGTTCTCATTCTCTCCCTTTTCCTCGTGTTTCAGGGTCCCTGCTTCTACCACAGACTGAGATCTAATAATGGGGGAAGGAAAAAGATACGATTACAAACAATTCGTGGTGGCAACAATTTTGGAAACTTTGATGGCGTTCAGATTTTATGTTCCCTTATTAATCAAGACACTCAAAATAACTGTATAATTTCCCCTCTTTTGTATCTGTTTTCCTTGCTTTTGTGTCTTCTACACCACATTTTTATGGGGAGAGGCATCTTGGAATCTTCTTCGCAGACATCTCTTCTATTGGTAAAGGGAACATGTGTGCTAGCCATGACTCTGCCCCAATGCCTAAACACTCTGTGGATCATGAGACGTACAACGTCAAATTGTGTTGGATTGTTAATGTTTCAAAATGCTTTTTAGAGCCTTTGTTTCTCAAGGTCATAGGAAACAATCATGCAAGATGTTAAGACCATGAGCTTTGGAATCAGATGGTAAATGTAGAGTCTACCCCTTACTGGCTGAGGAGCCTCCAGGGAGTTCTTAAAATTCTCTGGATATTTATGTTCTCACCTGTAAAGTAGAACTATTACCTACCTCCCACAGTTGTTGATAAAGACAAAAACTAATAATATACGTAAAGTATTTGACATGTAATTGTAGTTAAAATTTACAGAGCACTCTTTTATCACCATTATTGCAATAATATCAGTGATCTTTAGTTTCTGATGTGTCCTTTCATATTGGGGTAAAACTGACTTCTTTCCTGAGTTTATAACACGGATTGAAACATTATTTTCCAGCTTACAGAGAAGGTTATCAGAGTGATGCATGCAGTGGACATTCTATAAATGTTATTACTAAAAAAATAAAAATCATTCAAAACATTAAGAAAATAGTTGAATTAGTTTATTCAAATAAGCAAAATTTACATATATGTGATGTAAATGGTAACTGAGGAGGCCTGAGTTATGCAAACCCTCCCCAGTCCAAAAGTTTTCAGGACTCTTCCATGACTGGCTCCTCTGTACCCCTGGGGTATCATGCCAGATAACAGTGTCTCTGTCTACCTGAGCCAAACAGTTTATGCTAACAACGTGATTTATAGTGAATGCCTCTTTTTGTATGCCTGGGCTTTGGGTCACACTGTGTCAGTTTGACCTCTTGTGGCAGGGGGAGGTGGAGGGGTGGAGCAGAAGACTGAATAGCTAAGGTCAGTCACACACACGCTGCATGCCTATGTTACTGACCCCCGTCCCCAACAAAAACCCTGGCCACCAAGGCATGGGTGAGTTTCCCTATTTGGCAACACTTGCACATTTTGTCACACAGCATTGCTGAAAGAATTAAGCTCTGTCCATGTGACTCCACTGGGAGGACAACTGGAACTTGTAACTGTCCAGTGTTCTGGACTCCCCCAGTGTACTTTTTCCTTTGCTGATTTTAATCTGTATTCTTTTGCTGCAAGAAACCATAACTGTGAGCATAACAGCTTTTCTGGGTCCAGTGACCCCCTTCCAGCAAATTATCAAACCTGGGTGGTCTTGAGGATCACAAGTGCCATATATAATAACACTAATATTTGTTATGTATACACTTAGTATTGATGTAAGTTCTTTACATGTATTAACATTTCATTTTCACAACCCTAAGGAATGGTGCTATTATTGTCTCCCTTTTATAGATGGGAAAAAACTAAGGGACAAAAAAAAATCAAGTAGCATAGGAAAGGAACACATACAGAGAGTGGAGAAAAAGACAGGTTTATCACCATCACACACTACTGCTGGGTGTACCTAAGACTGCACAGCTGTTTAGCTGAAGTATTTAGTATTCCTTCCACTCACTGTAAAAATAATTTTCTGCTTAAGATTCTTATCTTCATTGAGGATATGTGTATGCCATAGAAAGCATAAAATAAAGAAATCAAGAAACAAATCAGTACAATTGTCTCAAAACAATGGGTTTCTACTTTAAATATCAATCCAGTCAAAGAGTGCAACTTTAGGTACCTAGCTCAACCTTCGAAAGTGAAATGCATTCATTTACTCCTGGGACAGGGCCCAGGAAGCCTCAGGTAGTAATTTAGCTCAGCTCTTTTACACATTTCCTATGCATTTCTCTCTTTGCTTTGGTTAAGGGCCTGATATGTGTGTGTGCGTGTGTGTGTGGTTAATAGATTTATATAAGAAACAGAAAAGCTGAAAACACAGAAGGCATTAAAACAAACGTGAGGAGCACAATTGCCCACCAGGGCCACCTCCCTCCAGCACCTCGGACAGCTGCCTAACTGCTTTGCCCTACAGGCCCTGGTAAAAATGGAGGATATATGATGGCCATCCCGCTGTAGAGACCTTAAACTCCATTTCTCTTCTTTTTTTCATGTGAGTTGGCAGTATTTTACAACATGGCAAGTGAATCACAGCCACAGAGTTAGAAGGGGTCTTAGTAACCTATCTAGATTAACCCAATAGGAAATATTCAGTAAGGGGCCATGCAGCCTCTTCTTGAATATATCCAACTTGAGAAACCCACTGCTCCATGCCTTTAGAGGGGAAACTCTGCTGTAAAGTTCTTTCTTACATTGAACTAAAACCTATATTTTTTCAACTTCTGTATACTGTGTCTACTGGAGTCACCTGAGTACCTGTAATCCAACCAGTCCACATAACAGTCCTTTAAATATTTATCTGGTGTCCTCCAGTGATCTCCCTGCCCCTCCCCCCCAAGGCTAACTAGACTTTTGTTGTGCCAAGGTTTCGAAAACTCACTACTCCACACTCTCCTGCATTTCTTCATCAACTGGTTGCCCACAGGGCGTGACTTCAAAATAGACTGAAATTATTGCTTCCTTTTTTTTTTTTTTTTTTTTTTTGGTATGCTTCTGTTGAAGCATAGAAAATGTACCTAGAATTGCATTAGCTTTTATGGCACTCACATAACACAGCCAAGGGAAAATTTAGCTATGTTTACACATGCTGGTTTTAAACATTTCTCTCCCACCTTGAAGGTGCATGGCTGAGTATTAGTTTTCATCTTTTTAAATTTGGTTCTATTTCCACACTATCTCCATCCTTTTGGATCTTGAAATTTGTTATCCATCCAAATTATTGTCTGTGATTTTAATGAGTATTGGATTTGTTCTCAAACTTTTTCTGCCCCTATTTTGGTAGCCATTATGAGAAAAAAAAATCAATACATTCTGAAATATTGAATTTTCAAACAAGGATCATTTATTTAGACTCACTCATGGTAAGAAATGTTTGTGAATGTCTCTTGATATATGCCAGGGACTGTGAACAAATGTTAGGAAACCTTCATCTTTTGTGGAAATATTGCTTCAGTTACCCAGCCACAGACCTACAAACAGATGTGGGGTTACTATGCTAGGCACCCTGAGGACAGGGTCTTCGGGGGAGGGGAGGCATTAGCCCTAGAAGGAAAGGATAGAAGGAAAAAGTTATTCACAAAGCAAAATCATTCACAGTTCTCGTTCACATCGGTCTCCCCTCCACTTGAGGTCAAATTCAAATCTACATGATTTCTTTCAATACCCGTGGTGACAGCAGGAATACAGAATGCAAGCTCTCTTAGCCAATAAACTGTATGTCTTGGGTGAATGGTGAGTAATAATTGAACAATTCTTAAGAATTGAACATGAGGAACCAAACAGAACATTTTTTTTTCTTGTCTGCATTTTCCCTGATTGAGCAGATGACCATAGCCTCTTTACTTTCAGCATAACATAATTGCATTTATCTGGTCACACAATGAACATCTGATATAAGCAACACACTATATTGTGAAGTATTTGAAATTCATTGGAAAAACAGAAAGCAAATGTTGCTTTTTAAAAACTCTAGTATAAATAAATAAAACCTAGAAAGACACCCTTCTTAAATCTTGCGTTCAGTCCATTTAGCTAAGTCAAAGTACTCTCTGCAAAGACTGATCAGCTGCCCACTGATAAAAATGTCTCCACCACTTGTAAACAGAAGGCTCAGAAATTGGGCATGTTAATGCATTAACCATGGAGGAGCCACTTGCCTTGCAACTCCGTTGTCCAGATCATTCTTGGTGGTAATCTCCCCATTCAGTAGCTTTGCCTTCTCACGAGAAGCTTAACACTTCTGCTAAAATAAATATTTCAGACTTTTCTCTTGGGTCCTCTTTCCAATACTGAAAAGCCAGCTCAACCCCAAGAACAGGCAAGGGAGTGATTTAAGCTATTTCAGCCGTCATTATCTCAGTGGTGTAGCAGACTACCCTAACAAAGATTTCATTCTAGCCTTGATAGCCACATTTTGTTTTCCTGCTATTATATTCTCTCTCTCTCTCTCTCTCCCTCTCTCTCTCTCTCTCTCTCTCTCTCTCTCTCTCTCTCTCTCGTTTCCCTCCTCCCTCTCTCCCCCTTCCCTCCCTCTCTCTGGTTCTCTCTCACCCTCCCATTCCCTCTCTTTCTACCTTCCAACTTCCCCTTTTCCTCTCCAAAATTCGGAATTTTCCCCACTCGATATCATCAAAGACTACCCATGGTTTTACTGACTCCAAAGGTAATTAAGTTCCAGAAAGAACAAGATGAAGATGGAAAACGTTCACCATGAGTTAGTCCATTTTCATAGACCTACAGTTAGACTGAGACTTCTGCCCTCAGTCAGAGGTTTATTTCTAAACTTTATTTAGCTACCTTATCTCAACACATTCTCCTCACTAAGGAACTGCCATTGTCTGGCCAAATAAGGGCACAGGAACTCCATCCTTCAGTCTCAGGCATTCACTGAGAGTCATTGAGACCAGAGCTGTAAGGAGCTCAGAGAAGAGGCAGTCAAACTCTCATTTGACTCAGGTTCTACCCACTTGTTTTCCAGACACCAACCTCCTGACTTCTTCAGGGAATACTCCATAGTCCTGGTTTTATTTCTTAAAGTCCGCGATGGGCTTGGTTTTGTGGAATAGCACAGAAGTGTCTAATATCATAGTCTAAGAAAGACTTTTAATCAGAAAGAAAAGATATCGTTTAAAGAATTCTTCTAAGTAATTCTATTCAGCCTCTTTTTCTCTGTATAACTTAAAGTA